TCTCCTTGTACACACCACTTGTCACAATCACATTCCATTAACCAAAGCGAACACATGATCAAGTCCAAGGTCACTCATTCTGAAAAGGAAGAGTGAATAATAAGGTAGACTTCAAAGAGTTTGTGTGAAAATTCCATCGTCATTTAATTCCATTTCTGATGAACTTTTATTGCAGAGCAGATTAATTTTCCATTCAACAATTCATACATTCCGTGAACTTTCTGAAACCTCTTCATATTATCTATCCCCCTCTTCCCATTGGACAGTGGTGGCTTGCCTGTTGCTGGAAACTATACCACTGGAATTTCAAATACCAACAGAGTCACTCATGGTAAGCAAGTTTCAGCAGAGCTAGCAGACTAAGAACAGACTAAAAAGAAGGGAGAGGCAGTCCACCTGCAAAAATTCGTCACATCGTGTGAGAGGGTGCTGGCTGATGAGCCCCTGGGGTGAAAGGCATTCAGAGCTTGAGTAGGGAAGAGCCACCTCCCTAAAGGAGAGTCGATCTTAATGAAGTGGGTGGAGTGAATCTTTTGGAACTTTCATTTTGCTGATGAGGTATGATTCAAAATGAGAAGAAACGTCTTTTCCTAATCAGAACGAATGTGCAAAGTACAAATCTAGCAAATTTGGAAGCTGTCAGAAACGAGATGGAAGGCGTAAAGATGGATGTCCTAGAGCTTGGCTGAAGTGGACTGGTCTTGGTTATTTTGCATTAGACAGTCACGTGGCTTACTATCGTGGGAATGACAGATCTAAGAGACGTGGTATCACATTTATTGTCAAAAAAGACATTTCAAGATTTATCTTGAAGCATAATGATGTATGTGGTAGTCTAATATCTGTATGCCTACAAGGAAGACCAGTTAATGTACCATTAAAGCCAATGATAATGATACTGAGGAATTCTACCAGCTTCTTCATCTGAAATTAATCAAATATCCAATCAAGATAAATTGCTGATTACTGGTAATTGAATGTGAAAGTTGGAAACAAAATGGAAGGAGCAGTCATTGAGAAATACAGCCCTGTCATAGAAATAAAACTGGAGATCGCATGATAGAATTTTGCAAGACTGCCGACTTCTTCATTGCAAACACCGTTTTCCAACAACATAAGTGGTGACTATAAATGTGGACTTCACAAGATGGAATCACAAACATCAAATCAACCACATCTATGGGAAAAGACGACAGAGATATTCAGTATCAGCAGCCAAAATGAAGCCAGGTGCTAAATATTAAACAAACCACAACTGATCATATGCAAGTTCAGGTTGAAGCTGAAGAAAAGGAAAACCAGTCTGTGAAAGACAGAGTCCAATCTCGAGTCTATCCACCAAAATTTAGAGAGCATCTCAAGAACAAATTTAAGGCACTGAACACTAAGTCCAGACAAGGTGTGTATGACATCAAGAACAGATGTGAAGAAAGCCAATGGTCATTTTTAAAAAAACACAAGAAAACCAAAGGGGACGTCAGAGGTGACTCTGAAACGTGCTCTTGAACAGAAAGTAGTTAAACAAATGGGGAAATTGATGGCATTATACGACCTGAACAGAGAGTATCAAAGAGCAGCCCCAGGAGACAAAGTCAAGCATTATGAAGAAATGTGCCAAGATCTGGAGTTCGCAAACTGAATGGGAAGGAGATGCCAGAATATTTCAAGCTGAAAGAACTGAAGAAAATGGTTAAGCTTCGAGTTTCAATATAGAAGGATTCTATGGGTAAGATACTGAATGATGTAGGAAGCATTCAAAGACGGTGGAAGAAATACTATACCAAAAAGTCTGAGGCAACTAAAGATCAACTAAGTAACAGCAGTAAAGTCTGCTTTATCTCCATAATGCGCCCCAAATCTCTCCATTCCTCACCTTCTGTGTAGCCTTTTCCCTCATTCCAGACACCAATTGAAGTAACCTATAAAACTCAATCGATTGATATTGAGTGGATTCCAGCTCATAGCGAACCTGTGTAGTTTCCTCTGCTTTGCCAAACATGATGGCCATCCCTAGAGACTGATAAAGTTTGCCAACTTTTAAAAGGAAAGTGAAATTAGAGGCAATGCCCCAAATTTTTCATTAATCCTAATTAATCTCCTTCCTGGAATAAGAATAGATTCTTAATTAACACCTCAAAAATGTAGGGTACACTGTACTAAAATTATTTGGTGCACATTCAGCCATTTCCAGAGGGTCATGTGTGATTAAGATCCAGTGGTACTGAAGGAAGAAGTCTAAGATGCACTGAAGGCATTAGCCAAAAACAAGGCTTCCAGAATTGATGGACTATCAATTGGAATATTTCAAACAAGCGGATGTAGCATTGGAAGTATCATACCAAGAAATTTGGGGGGGGGGAATCAGTCAATAAAAGAAAATAAATTTGGAAAAACTCACTGGGAGAGATCTCTACATGTGCTCATTCCAAAGAAAATTGATATAGCAAAATCACAAAGTATCAAATGATATTAGTAATGTCATATTCAAGTCAAATTTTGCTAAAGATAATTTAAAAAATGGTTGAAGCAGTACACTGATAGGGAGCTGCCAGAAATTCAAGCTATGGAATTAGAAGATAAGGAACAAGGGATGTTGCCAATTTTTAAAAAAATTTATTTCCAAAGCACAGCCAGAAAGCATTGATGGATTGTAAAAGGGGGTGGTACCATCTGATATATATCTTTAAAAGATCATTCTCATTGCAAAGGGGAAAATGAATTATAATTGGGCAAAAGTGAAGTTAAGGAGACAATTTCATATGTTCTTAGAGGCTACTAAGGAGCTCTGGTGGCATTGTGCATTAGGAGATGGACCGCTAACCCCAAAGTCCGCAGTTCAGGCCCACCAGCAGCTCCAAGGGAGAAAAGTTTACAGTCTTGGAAACCCTATGTAAGTTCACTATGACTTGGAATCAACTCAATATCAGGATTGGGATTTTACCGGTTACTTCAATTAATACCTGGGACTAAGAAAAAGGCTATAAAAATGAAGAGGAATGGAGAGATTTGGGATGTATTTTGGAGATAAACTAGATTCTATTGTTGATACTCAGTTGATGTCTAGTTGCCACAGACTCAGGTGTATAACAGACCAAAACATCGCCTGGCCCTGTGCCATCTTCAGAACGGTCAGTGTGTTTGAGTGTGTTGTTACAGCTAGTGTGCCAAGACATTTTATCAAGGGAGACCCTCCTTTTCATTGGCCCCTCAGCTTACCAAACATGATGTCCATCCCAAGAGATTGATAATACTTGCTGACTTTTAGGAGGAAGGTAAAGTTAGAGGCAATGCCCAGAACTTCTCATTAATCTTAGTTAATCCATCTGCAATCTGAACAGATTATAAATTAACACCTTCCAAAATCAAGGACGGACTGGGGCTGTCTCAAGTAAAGTTGGGCCCATTCTTCAAGTCCCCATAGCCTTAGCCTCCCAGTACAGCAGACTCTCCTTTATACCTGCATCAGTCTAGCACTGTGGGCCTTCTCTGCAGCCCTAAAATATCCACTAGGCATGCTGGAACATGTCCATCTCTGATAAACACTAATGAGCGCGGAGAGTCTGCCATGGCCCCCAGATGCAGTTTTACAACCAACCATGTTAGGCCGTTGTGACCAATTGATCCATTCTATTATAAGGCACAACTTATTTTTCCCCAGCTTATACGTTGCTTCGCTAGTCAGCTCTTCTTCTTCTTTTTAAATCATTTTATTAGGGGCTCATACAACTCTAATCACAACCCATACATACATCGATTGTGTAAAGCGCATTTGTACATTCGGTATGCTCATCATTCTCAAAACATTTGCTCTCCACGTAAGCCCCTGGCATCAGCTTCTAGTCAGCTCTTCTTTGGGGTCTCTATTCCAGCATTGGATTCCATACCTCAACATTACGGTAGAGGTAGGATCTCTACTGCACTCTTCCTGTTGATGGATTTGTGTGCATTGCTATAGCCTGGGATCCCTCCTATGAGTAACGTCGCCTCTTTCTGTTCTTCAGGGAGATGCTCTTTTTCCCTTTCCAAACATGTGTGTCAACGGTATCTAGTAATTGTCACAACTATTATCTGGAGCGGTGGTTCTCCACCTTCCTGATGCCGCGACCCTTTCATACAGGTCCTCTTGTGGTGGTGACCCCCCAACCATAACATTATTTCCATTGCTACTTCATCACTGTCATTTTGCTACTGTTATGAATCGGGCGACCCCTGTGAAAGGGTCGTTCAACCCCCAAAGGGGTCGCGACCGACAGGTTGAGAACCGCTGATCTGGAGGCATCACCCATGTTTAACTCGGCGAGCATGCCTGGGAGGGCTGTGGTGGGGACCTCAGGCCAGGTCTTGCACCACATTAAAAATCAAAATCCTTTCATCATAGCTCTGCGTGTTTCATAATCTAGCGTTCACACTGCTTTTTCTCATATCTTTTCATCAGTGCCTTCACAATCATATTGATGTGGTTCTTTGAAAACTGTAGGAAAGGTGCTAGACCACATCTCTTCCCTAAGATGTTTGAAGTTGGAACCAGAGGTAGCAACCCTCGGTCCTTCCAGGGCATGACAAAAGCAGCCTGAAAGGTTAGGGAGAAAGGGAGAGGTCGAAGCTGAAGCTGAGCCCCCGTGGGGCTCCTAGTTTCAATCACCCCAATGCCTAGCTGCACCTTTGTCTTTCCTGTGGCAACAAGAGCCTTCTAAGCAATCCTTCTTCTGACCTGAAATGTTTCAGATTGAGTTTCCGTCGCATGTAACTGAGATCTGATTAATACATCCTAGTGAGTTTCAAGGCACAAATCCACCCATCTGTTTACCACCATCAAATTTGGAGCATCAACTCTGCCCTTCAATAACAACCCCAACATCCAGGACATGTAGCCTAGTCTTTCACTGCTTGTGCTAATTGTTTCTCCTGCTGGATTTTGATTGTTTTTGCCTCTTAACATCAGTTGTTCTAGCCTTTCCTTGCCCTCTTTTTTGTGCTTTTAGGCTGCAACTTTGGCTGCTTTGATAACAGAGACTTAATCCACCGCACTCAAGGCATAAGTATCATCTTGATTTGCCGTGTCAACTCACTATTTGGGTAAATCTGTACCTTGCCCCATCCCGTATAACTGCAGCTATATTACAGGTAAACCCTACTCACTCTTCCACCAGGTATCTTTATCAAGTGTTGTGGTCACACCACCCTGCCCAAATCATCTTCACAGCTGTTGTGTCATGCAAGTCCATTGTTGGAGCCACTGTGTCGGTCCATCTTCTCTCTGGGCTTCCTTTATATCACTCCTCTGATACTGGACCAACTGACTGAAAGAGATCCATATTTGTACCCTTTCCAAAGAAAGGTGACCCAACAGAATGCTCAAATTATCATTATCATTCATATCACATACATTAATATCATTATGTCACATTCCAGGACAATTTTGCTGAAATTAATTTTAACAGTGGTTGCAGCAACACATTGACAGCTGCCAGAGATCCAGGCCGGGTTCAGAAAAGGACTTGGAACAAGGGATATCATTGCTGACATCAGATGGATATTGGCTGAAAGCAGAGAATACCTCAAAGATGTTTACTTGAATTTGATTAACTATGTAAAGGCATTCGACTGTGTGCACCATATAAACAATGGATAGCCTTGAGAAGAAAGGGAATCCTAGAACTCTACACTGTGCTCGTGAAACCTGTACCTCGATCAAGAGGCAGTTCTGAGAACAGAACAAGGGCATACTACACAGTTTAAAATCAGGAAAGGTGTGCATCAGGGTTGTATCCTCTCACCACACTTATTCAATCTGTAGGATGACCTGGATTAACTGAAGAAGATTTTTGGCATCAGAATTGGAGGAAGGCTTTTTTAATAACGTGCAATATGCTTACGACACAACCCTACTTAAAGTGCAGAGGACTTGAAACACTTGCAGATAAAAACCAAGGACTGTAGCCTTCAGTATGGATTGCAACTCAAAGAAAAGATCAGAATCCTCACAACAGGCTCCATCGGTAACATCATGATACACGGATTTAATTTTGCTTGGATCCACAATCAGTGCTCATGGAAGCAGCAGTCAAGAGATCAAATGCCACATTGCATTGGGTGAATCTGCTGCACAAGACTTTTAAAAAGTGCTGAAAAAGCAAGGCTGTTACTTTGACGCCTAAGTTGGGCCTGACCCAAGCCCTGGTATTTTCCGTTGCCTCGTGTGCATGTGAAAGTTGGGCACATTGAACTGGGAAGACTGAAGAAGAATTGATATGTGTGAATTCCGGTGCCAACAAACAATGCTGAAAGTACTATGGACCGCCAAGAGAACAGCCTCTCGAGGAAGAAGGACAGCTGGGATAGTCCTTAGAGGCGAGGAGGCTGAGGCTGAGGCTCCTCTACTTTGCAATGTCGTTAGGGGAGAGCACTCCCTGGAGCAGGACACCGTGCTTGGTAAAGTTGCACGGCAGAGAGAAAGAGGAAGGTCTTTTGGATTGATAGAGTAGTTACACCGGTGGGCAGAAACGTAAGGACAATTGTGAGAATAGCTAGGGACCAGGCAGTGTTTCATCCTATTGGCCTGTGAGGGGACTCGAGGGCCCTAACAGCATGTCCAAAGAACATGAGACAAAGTGCTGCCATCCTCATTTCGCAGGAGCATTTTCGCTGTATTTCTTGTAGGAGAGAGGGGTTTGTTGTTTTGGTAGGCTGTGGTAATTTCAATATACTTCAGCAGCACCGGAATTCAAAAGCATCAATTCTTCATCGGTCTAACCTTATTCGTTGTCAACTTTCACATCCATATAAGGCTACTGAAAATACCATGCTTCCGCCACTGCCATTGAGTCAGTTCCGACTTTTAACGACCCTAGAGGACGGCGTAGAACTGCTCCTGGGAGTTTCAGACTGTAACTGTTTATGGGTTGCAGAATGCTCTGTCTTGCTCCCTCCGACCTGCCGTTGGCTTTGAACTGCTAACGTTGTGGGTTGCAGGCCATCGTGCAGCCCTATGCTACTAGGGCTCGCCAAAATATATTCAAGCGAAACTATAACTTATTAGGGCCTTAGGAGACTAGGTAATGTTTTTCCTTTCTAAACGTTCCTTGTTTCAGCAGCTATGAAGTAAACAAGCTGCAAGGTTGACACCTTGTGGTTGATACATAGAACTGCATTTTCAGTTTCAACAAAAGAAAATACAATGCTGTTTATTCTTTCATTGGTACTTTTTTGTTTAGAATGTGTAGCAATATAGTATCAAAATATTTCAGCTCTCTTATCTGTCTTGGAGCATAAGCTATCTCACAGAGTGAGCTGGTTCAGAAACACTCGAGGGCTCATCAGTGTTCCCTTATACACTGAAGTGGTTATGAGGTGGCTGCCACCCTAGCGACCCTGAGCACAGCAGAACAAAGCCCAGCCCCGTCCTGTGCCCCCTCACCACGGGTCCTCGGCTTGAGCCCATTGTACACTGGGGACTCAGCCCAATTCCGCCTAGGATGCCAGATTCATTTTAATATCCTAATGCTGGATTAGTCAGACAGTGAAAATTTGCACCCCTTATCAATTCTTGGTGTCTTTGGACATTGTGGGATGTCTTATGGGCTTTTGCCACCTGCATCATGTTATTCACAGTTGTTTACTTCTCCTCCCAGCTGGAAACTTCACTTCTTTGCCTCATGATATCAGGTTTCCATTAAATTGTTTGGGCCAATAAGGCAAGAGTAGAGATGGTGTATTTACTTATAAGCAGGAGCATTGAACAGAAGCTTTGCCTTCTTCCGTGAGCCTGGAATTCTCCCGAAAGAAGCGTTTTCTCTAGCCTGTGTCCGAGAGAAAGTGACCCACAGCAGAGCGGCAAGTGGCCTTCCACGGAGATGGAGAATGAGAGAAATGGGCCTTACAATGGGGCTTCAACAGCTCATGCAAAAATTCCATTATCTTCTCTTTCTCTTTTTGCATGCATTTTTTGTAAAGCCTACTTATGTAGTTTTAAGCCACTCATATTTTAAGGGTAATTTGTTACTGAAGTATAAATTAACATGAACCAGTAGACACAAACCAATTCAATAAGCTTACCAACACTCTCACTTTACTCCTAATGTGAGTGAATTTTTTTTTCCATTTCATTCCTTCATCAGATATTTGTCGAAAAGTTTATATGTGCTAAGGCCAGTACTCGATGTTGGGCACACTGTAAATACACTAGAAAAAGTTCTATTACTGCAGCGCTTACCGTCAAAGAGGAATACAAACAAATAAATAGGAGCTCACAATATAATGCAGTAAATGCTATAAGAAGAATCATACACTATGTAATAGGAACACACAGGAAAAACATCTGATCTTGACTTGGGGAATCAAGGGTCCCCGCGTGGAAGAAATAAAGTCTATCTTGAGAATTGGAAGTGGTGGACGGATTGGTCATTAGTGTCCAGAGTAATGCAATGACAGGGAGTGGGGACCAAGGATGAAATTGAGTATAAAACATACCTTCTCATCAGGAGCAATATTGTCCCCATGAGGGAGGATATTGGTGCTTGGTTAGAGGTGAAAAATATTTAAACGATTGTTAACTGGCCCTTCAAAACTCGATTCTTCCTGGGTGGAGGGGGGAATAATCATATCTCTTAGTATTTAATTAGGAGTGGAGGAGATGTAATGAGGATTTTTTAAAAGTCATTTTATTGGGAGCTCTTACAGCTCTTATAACATTGCATACATCAGGTGTATCAAGCGTATTTGTACATATGTTGCCATCATCATTTCCAAAACATTTTCTACTTGAGCCCTTGGTATAAGCTCCTCTTTTTTCCCCTCCCTCCTCCACCCTCATGAATCCTTGATCGATTATATATCATTATAAGTATTTTGTGTCTTACACTGTCCGTTGTCTCCCTTCACTCACATTTCTGTTTGCCATCCCCTTTGGGGGTGGGGGTGGAGCTATATATCCAATCTTGTGATGAGTTGCCCCTTTCTCCCCCTTCCCCCTCCCTACCATCCCCCCACCCTCATGATATCGCTACTCTCACTACTGTTCCTGAGGGGTTGATCTGTCCTGAATTCCATGTGTCAAGAACTCTTATCTGTACCAATATGTGGTGAACCAAAGATGGAGAAACATTAGTACAGAAAGACCAAGTAGGCAGAGATCGCATAGGAAGCTATAAAGATGAAAGAATATTTAAGATAGAATTGGAGGGACAAGAAGTAAGAAAAGAGACTTTTCTAAACAAATTATACATAAAATTAAGTCTGAAAATGCAACTGGGCCTATAGTTATCTAAATAATTAATTTTTAATAAATTATATAAATAAATAAATAGCCTAACATATTTAATGTAAAATTGAAGTGTGCATTTAAATCATCTCCTGTGGACCAGGCTCATTTTTGTGCCATCTGTACTTGCCATTGTAGTCACATCGTAAAGAACTCATTCTGACTTAGTTTCGAGTGTTCCAGAGACAGCAAAAGATGCTTGTTAAAATCTCTCTCTCTCTCTCCCTTTCTCTGTCTGTCTCATGCTGCGGCTTTTTGGTTTTGTCAATGCAGTCTGTAGATCAGCAGCATGATCAGGTGGGGACTTAATCATCATGCCATTCTGGAAGGCAGTCTACATTGTACATGATTCACTGCACTGGAGTTTCCAAGATTAAAAATGTGAGAATAAAAAGATACTTTTTGAGCCCTATTATTGGGAACAGAATGAGAACAATGATCTGGTGAATAACCATTATCATTATCTTCCTACTAGATTGAATTTAAATTACTTTAATATTCTATTAGAAAATTCTGCCAATCATCCCCATCTCACCCAACTGTTAACAATGAACTCAAGCCTAATTCAATACTTTTGAGAGGAAGTAAAAACTTAATTTTGGAAGTTAAAGAACTGAAAATTTTTATATTGTATGCTATGATCTTAAGATAGGCAATAGCAATCATTGTAGCTTAGTTTTTCAATTAAATTTTTTTAAACTACAGCCCTCATTTGCTTGGTGTAAGTAGACCCAATCTACATTTCTAATATACTTTTAGGAGGCTGTATCACAGTGCTATTTTTATAAAGTCTTATTATGGAAGACACAAAGGGAGGTAGTAGTTTAGAGTTAGGAGTATTAGGAACACTGGATTTAAATTATGG